AGAGTTGAGGGACCAAAACCTATGGAATTAGATTTCGCTCTGACCCAACACGCTCTGCCTACCACACTGGGAATCAATCCCATGCATCCCTGAATGTTGGTTACCAGGGTGTTTAGAGAACTTCTGGGTCTGCACTGAAACCCCATCTCTCTGGAAGGGAGTCCTCACACAGTCTCCCCTTCGCGTATGGAGGACATACCTTCTCTGGGTCTGGTCAGCAACCTTTCCTTTGTAGAATTTTGCTGAAGGTCATGTGAAAGCAGTGAGCCTCTCGTTCACATTCTGGGGGTGCAACAGCATCTGGTGAGCAGTGATGAAATAGCCAATGAGGTCATTGTCTGTGGGCACCAGGGAGTGCATGCCCACTGAGGGAGAGGCAGGGAACTTCATCTGGAGGTTTTGAGTTAGGCGAAAGCCAATGAGGCTTAGGCCATCCTCCATCGCAGAGGACGGGTGTCCATTATGGAATTGTATTTAAGGAAATAAGAATGTATGTACACACAGGGTGGCCAGGAAGGGAGGGGAGGCTAATACAGAAGTCTTGCTTGTTACGGGGCCAGCATCCCTCCTTCAGCTCCCACTCACCTCACTCACCAGTCTCTTAGACACACCTGCATCCTCCAGCTGCTGGTTTCTGCATCCATCCTGAGGTGCCCGAATCCCCAGAAGCCCTCTGAGCCCGGAATGGAATCATTCTGAGCTGTGTATTTTGCTCATCTCCCAGCCTTGCCCACGAGTGCAAGTTTTCATTGCCCACTGAAGCAGCTGACTGCACTCAACACCCTTTGCTGGCTACCCATCGTTTACCTGGATGATTCTCTCCCCACCCAATCCTTTCTCTCAAATCCTTGTCTCTGGGTCTGCTCCCAGGAGAAACCTGATGGAGCAAGAGGGTGTGAGGTTGGATCTATCTACTGGATGGCCTGTATATGCTGACCCCCTCCATTTTATAGGCGAGGACACTGAGGCTGACGAGGCAGAGATCACCCAGATAGGAGATGGTGTACTGTAGGGTGGAAATTAGAATTGACCCTGTGGCACCCAGCGTAGAGCACATGACTCTTGATTGCGGGGTAATGAGTTAGAGCCCCACGTTGTGGGTAGAGTTTACTTAAAAATAAAAAGTGTCTTGAGAACTCACCCTGCAGCTCCCGTCCCCCACCTAGACAAGGGTTTCTCAGGCTCAAGCACTGGTGACATTTTGGGCAGGAAGAGTTGCTGTGAAGAGTTGTCCTGTGTAATGCAGAACGTTTGGCAGCACCCCTGGCCTCTATGCATGAGATACCATAGCACCCCGCCCCTAGCTGTTCCAAGAAAGAAAAAGACAACAAAACTCCAAATTGCCAAATGTCCCTGGGAGGAGGGGAGGGTTCCTCCATGGTAAGGACCACCGGCTGAGAGAGTTAGGTTCTGCTGGAAAAACACTGTGAGAGATCGGAGGTCTACTGTGTTGGAGAAAGGCAGAGTGACAGCACACTCATGGCCTGTTTATTGACCCTGTATAAACCTTTGGTCCAATCTCCTGTGTTCTCACTCCAAATCTGGCCCACTTTCCATTATGCTGGCTCCCTGAGATCAATTGTTCCATTGTTCTGCTTGTTAGAAAGTTCTTTCCTATTGAGACCAAATGTGCACTTACTTCATCTGTGTGTCCTCCAGAGCCATGCTGAAAGCCTAATCCCTCGCCAGGGGCTGACATTTCAACTATGTGAAAATCAGTCACGTGGCCTCTGCCCTATAGATCGCCACCGCCCGTGTGCCAGGGGCCGCAGACACATAGGGGGTGGCTATTGGACTTGGAGTTGAGACCTCTAGGCTCTTTCCCAACCTTCGAGCAGGAATTTCCAGGGGCCTAGACTCTATGTGTTTTAAAGCTTCCAGGTAATTTCTGATGCAGCCAGAATTTAGAGACACGTACGTATACATTGCAGTCAGTTTTCTAAAGTCATTTAAAGCATCGTAACCACCTTCTGATGACCACCTTTTGGCTACTTCTTATACATAGGGGTGCTTACACAGTGGTGCTGACCCCTGGTGGAAACAAGGTACCCAAGTGACACAATCAGAGACCTGGACCACTCGGGGATATGTAAGCTTTGCAATGACAGATTTGGGCAAGGATCCAGGTTGCCTCTCATTTAAGGGAGCGGGAAAGAAAACTCATCGGTCGTGGGATCACAGCACATCCAGATGCAGATCTTAACCCAAAAGAGATGCACATAAAGGAAAAAACAGTGACAGCAGGGAAGAGAGTACCAAGGTGGGGTAAAATGATAAAAATAGGCTCTTGTATCCACTCAAGCTCAATTACTATTCTCTTATCCCCTCATAAACGTGAGTGATAGTTTAAATCCCATCTGCCAAGGTTTTAATTTACATGCCCTATATTCTATTTTAAGGGTTCCCAGGCTTTCCAAATGAGTACATGATTTTCTTCCTTCCTTTTTAGCGGCCCTTTTATCCCCCATTGAAATACATTGCAACGGCTTGCTTTTTTTTCTTGGAAGTTGTTCTGGTTTCCTATTCCCTGTTGCCCCAACAAAATACTCCTCAAGCAGCTTAAAAGCCGTTAACTCACATCCCTTCTAGTTAGATGTTCTCCTGCCTTCTCCCGGTAGAGTCCTGTGTTCTTTCTGGCCGCTGGAAGCAGAGTCCAGGACAGTCCACAGCAGGCACGAGTCCTCCCTTTGGCCACAGCAGGTTGGCTAATGAGCACAAAGTCTGCAGGTCTGTTCAAAACCCCAACCCCCCCAACCCCCACTTCTTTTTAAAGCGAAATGTGTCTACATTTCAAACTCTATCACGGCAGCTGGATACCAGAGAGGAGAGCCTCTGTTCTGCTGGAGGCATTTTCTGGATCTTTTGAGGGTGATTCCATTTCACGTTGCAAGGATTACGTGTCAGTATGTAGGAAAGAGAGAGAGAGAACACTGAGAATTGGGAGAGGGAGAGAGAATGGATATTCTAGCAAAGTAATGTGTCTGAGTCCTGGTCGGTCATGCTACCCTAAATAACTTGGACTTGCACTGGCTGGCTTTTGTTCATAAAATGCTAATCCTTTCAGGTACAGATCTATATAAAACATTGTGGATTCAAGGGGGCACAGAAATCTCACATCTCTTCTGCTACGTAAGGTAATGTTTAAACTAACAGCTTGAAATTATTTTGAGGGGACTAACACGAAGTCATTTGAAAAACTTCCCGAATCTTTAGCAAATACTGATGCACGCTATGTAGCAGATGCTACATCCCACTGACAGTACCAGGTAGAGCACTGTCAATACTTTCTAGATTGCCTTTCAACGCACAGATGCAGGGAGAAATTTAATTTCTCGTGTCAACTATGGCGATGGGGGAGGGAGTCGTTTCCTTTCATAAGGAAAAGCACACTTAGGATTGGAAAATAATTCTCCTTTGTTTGCATGCAACGTGAGGAACGGTCTTAAATTTAATGCTCAGAGGCCCCTGGTGCTGCGTGAGCATGGTTTGCTTGGCCACCCTCCTAGGTTCAGACAGAATGGTTGCTGCCCTATGTGAGATGCTGTGCATGGCTTACCTCTCTTAGTTCCCACAACCACCATTGGAGTAGGTGTCCCCATTATCTTCCTCTCCAACAAGGGGCCTACCTGGCGGGGCGGGGTGTGCTGAGATTCAGAGGCAGGCTCCTCACCAAGCGTGGAGGCTTGCCCACTGAAGACGCTGTGCGTACTCATAAACAACCAGGCTGCATCTCTTAGGGGAACAGTTCATTTCCTGGAGTTGGGGAAACTTGAAAGGAATGAACAATTATCTGCAAGAGAAAGAACTTCTGCTCGGAGGCACAGGCCCGCAGAGCACTCCGGCTGGTTTGGTTAGCTGGAGAAGTGGGGCAAACGTTGGATCGTTCGGTCCTAAAGGCAGTGAAAATGTTAAATCACTTTCACAGGGATCTCATTTGTTTGTGGATGCTGCTGCGCATTAACGCATTAACGGGAGGGACACTCGACCTGCCCAGGTGCGGAGCGGAATGACATTTGCCTCAGGGGCTGTGCTTTCTTGCATTTTGCCATTTTGTCTGTTTGCTCACGGATCAAGCCAATTCCCCGGGGGCTTTTGGTCAGCTAGTCGGGAATGGTACTGCCGGCGTGTCTGGTTGCTATCCCCAGTTGGCGGGGGTGTGGAGACTAACTCAGGAAGGTAAACACAGGCGAGGAAAATCATTCATATTTTGTGGGAAAAAAAAAAGACTAGAAAATATCCCTGTGGCAGCTAAGCATTATGAGTAATTTCAGGGCAAAGTAGGCAAGGGAAGCCCAGGCTGAACAAGCCCACCCAAGGTGCACCTGCCGGGGGGTTTAGAACGGAGATTCTGCAGCTGAACCTCCTGGGTTGGATTCTGGGCTTCGCCACCGCTCTTGGGCTGCTTTTCAAGCTCTCTGTGCCTGGATTGCTCGCATCTGAGAAGAGGCATAAGAATAGCATCTACTTCATAGGGGCTATTGCTAGGACTAGACGAATCGATACACTTAAAGCACCAGGACGGGCCGGGCACCAGCACACGCCCTGCAGTGATGTCATGGGTTACTATTTTGATGCCGATCAGTGATCCCCACAGCCAGGTCTGCTCTCCTAAATCAGGTGCTTTTATCTCTGTACGCATCACTTTCACCCTGCTGTTTCCCAGCACAGCCCTAGGAGGCCCTAAGAAGTCGCAGCAGACACTTATTATCCCCTGTTCGCTGATGAGGAAATGTCTCGGGAGGGGATTAAGTGAGCTGCCAAGTGCCCGAGTGGGGAGCCGGGCCAGGCTCCTGGCTCAACCCCCAGCGCTTTCTTGCAATATAGCCTCAGATGAGAAGGGAGCAGCCCTGTGTTTGGTTCAAATCCTGCCTTCTCATCCACGATGTCATTAACCCCTCAATCCGCACGGTAGCCCCGATTGCAGATGCGCTGCTGGATCAGAGTTTCTTCATTAAGATTCAGTTCCAAAAGCTACTGGAAATACATTTTAGACCCCAGCGACGTCGCGCCTGTCCTCCGGCGACACTTGCTCTGTTTTTGCATTTCTTGGTGCACAGAACAGGTGCGGTGATGTTTAATGGTCCCCCTCTCCTTTGCTCTGCAAAACGAGGGTGGCAGCTCCTTGGGGAGCTGCTTTGCTCACCCGGGGATCTAAGCTGAAAAGCAGGGGTTCTTTTCGGCTCAGCAGATGCTAAGGCGATAAGCTGCACCTTTTAGAGCCTCTGGGAGGCTCAGCCAGCCGGGGCTGAGCCTGTCCGATTCTCTGCTCTCCAGCGGCTGCAGGTATGGACGTGTGTCTGAGCTCCGAGCAGCAGCCCGGGCGCCTGCGGGAAGCACCATGCACCCCAGATGGCTGCTTGGAGCCGGCAGTGGAGGGGTCTCTCCAGGAGGATGGCACCGGGGGACACCCAGGAGGTAACATCCTTCCTCTGTTGCTTTCCTGGCCATGATATTTTCCAGTTAACTTCAGTGATAAGAATCCCCATCTCCTTTTAACTCTAGATTGTTCCTGTAGTGAGGCTTAGTAGAAAAGTGCCTTAGGCAAGCATAAGCACAGCATTAAAAGTAATCCCTATTTTTTCATTATTTTCTTATCTAAGTCCACAAATTTGTCTTAGCCTGTGTGTAAATCTGAGATAGTTATATTTTTGTAATGAGCCCTTTTAAAAAAAAGACTTTATTTGCTTATTGATGAGAGACAGAGAGGCGGAGGGAGAAGCAGGCTCCCTGCAGGGAGCCTGATGTGGGACTCATCCCAGGACCCCGGGATCATGACATGAGGCAGATGCTCAATCACTGAGCCACCCAGGTGTCCCTGTAACAAGCACTTTTAAAAAGCAACAAAATCTTGAGTCATGTCTGCTTTTCGCCAAAATTCTCCTGGCAGATGGGTTGCGTTTCTGGACAGGGACTCAGTAGTAACAAATAATAGACATAACAAATAATGTCAGAAAAGCCAAGGTATGGTATTTTAAACATGTATAATCATTTAACATGGTAAAATTATGTTCCAACTCAACTAAGACAGGCTTTTACTAAACTAGTTTACGTAAAAAAAGGCAACTCTATCTCTAACGACTGATCTCTCTAAAACTCTAACATCGATACAATAAATGAAAACATTTAACGTGCAATAAGCATGAATTTATTTTTGTTTAACATAGAAGGGTCTTAAGGGAGAATATTTATGCTCCTGCGTTTCTTTACAATGTTGTCTGGGGACATATATCTACTAGCCCAGTCACCTGTGAAATGATGAGCCGTTCCAAATCAACCCATTGACTGTTTCTGTCATCTTGAGAGAAAAATAGGTCCCCAGCTGGTGAGACGTGGGAGGAAGGACCTGTCTGAGCCATAGTAGGGGAGGCAAGTCTGCAGGAGCTGGCCTGAGTCCTGGCTGGTCTGGCTGCTCCGAGTCACCTACCCCAGTGACGAAACCTCAGAGGGAAAGGAACAGCCCTGTCCTTACTCCTCGCGCTGTGACAGCTTATCCCAGCTCTTGAATTTCAGGGCTTTTTTTTTTTTTTTTGAGGATTGTTGTTAATCATGGCCATTATTGAAATGTAATGTAAGTTATGAAAATGCACCACTAAATATATTACATAAAAGCCAGATGTATATTAAAAAAACAAGGTAATAGATACAACTCATTGTGACTTATTTTAATACATTTTAAGATTATCTTTAAGATTGTCTATGCTCTGGAGCTCACTGGTGTCCGTTGCACCGCCTGGTGGAGAGCACTCGTGATGGTGTGCACACCTCTTCCTGGGGGCGTTGGCTGGTGGCTGGAAATCACCATGGTGGGAGCATTCACACCATGGTAGTCCTCGAGTCCTACAAAACAGGGTTTCTTTTTTTTAAAAAAAGATTCTATTTATTTATTCATGAGAAGACACACAGAGAGAGGCAGAGACACAGGCAGAGGGAGAAGCAGGCTCCATGCAGGGAGCCGGATGTAGGACTCAATCCCAGGACTCCAGGATCACGCCCTGGGCAGGTGCTAAACCGCTGAGCCACCCAGGCATCCCTCCTCAACCCCCTACAAAACAGGGCTTCTTTCTCTCGCCTCCGACCAATGGTTAAACCTTTCCTGGAAGGCCCCGGTCTCTTCCTCTGCCTTTTTATCTTCTCTCCAATGGTTCAATCAGCCTCCCCGCTCGCGGGAAGAAGCAAGAGCCTCTTGGGCCATTCCCAGATAATGCGTAGGGGGTGTTCGATGCCAGGAGTCAGAGCTGGCTGAGGGCCAGCGGCCTCCTTCCCGCCCCTGCAGCCTCCTACAGCCCCTACCGGGACGCGGGCCTGCACCTGCCTCGGTCACTATTATTAGCAGGTTCCTGCAAGCTCGTGAAGGCCCGGGTCTCTGGAAGCTCAGCATTTAGGTCAGGGCACAGACCTCTCCCCCAAGGGTGCAGCTCACACCACATCACCACCGGGGAGCCAAGAGCAGCGCTCCGCGGGGCTGTGGACGTCCGTGATGCTTGAAGACAAACCAGTCACCGCGCTCCGCTGTGCTCAAAGGCCGCTCCTCAGTCTACTGCACGCCGATCCTTTTTTGCTAACATACAACCAAGATTCATTCCTAGGAAAAGCAAAATGCAAATGAATGCGTGGACAAAACGCAAGCCCTGTTTTTTTTGTTGTTGTTTTGTTTTGTTTGTTTTTATTTGGTAATTGGACATGAACTATTTGGTAATTGAACTAGAACTGCTCTAGCACGTGTGCTAATTAGGGACACCCGAAATCGCCTGCCTCCGAGGGGCAGACTCCTGATTCGGTTTCTCCAAAGACCCCCCTACCCTTCACCCTGTATTCGCACCCCGCCTCCTCCTCTTCCACCTCGGGGGTACTCTGGTTAGAGCGCCTCAGATGTTCACTGGCCACTCCTTTTAGCTATTTTCCAAAGCCCACATGCCACCTGCGGTTAAAAATGTCCCAGGCGGATCTCGGGAGCAAAGGCAAGTTTCGTGCAGGTTTCCCTCCAGCTCCTTGCTGCTAATTCCTCCTCAGTGCTGGTACCACAGCCGCTGGGCTCGGCCGCCCCCTCCCCCCCGTGTGCATGTGCTCAGCATCCCCACTTCTGACATTTCCACGCAGCACAGCTCTTTTTATTCTCAAACACTCAGCAAAATCTGCACAATCTCTGCTCCCATGATGTCAGCCCCGATCAGGTGCTCTTTTCCTCTCATTTTATATGATATTTGAGAGCTGCTCATGAGTTTAAAGGGTATTTAAAGCAATTGTAACTTAATAGTCAGAGCTCATCTGACAACCTCCCCCAGGACTGTGGAGCTGGCTCGTCTTTGGGTGACCTGTACCTTTTGAGGAGCTGTTGTAGGAAGGACTTAAGGAACATGCTCCAGCCAACATGCGGGAATGTTACTTCACTTCAAGACCTAAAAATAGTCAGGTCTGTGTTTGCTTAGGTCCTCATCCAGACAGCTCACTCCTGCCATTCTGTTGGCAAGCTAGCTTTCCCCTGCCATCAGAACACAGGGGTGAGGATGGAGCCACACCTCTCTGTCCTCTGCTACATAGCGGAACGGACCCAGGGCATCCTCTGGCATTTCGTCATCTCACGAAAACATCGCATCTGAACTTCATGTCCCTATCACCCCATATCACTCAGTTTTGTGCTACTTTGTGGCCGCTGTCCTTGCCAGCATCACCTCCTCTCTGTGGGAAAACCACCCACTCCATTCCCATCTTACCAGTTGTAACTCATGGGTACTTGCACTGGATCAACAAATCATGGAACCTATTTTATTTTCTGCCCCACAGATTCTAACGAGATAGAACCATCTCTTCATAGCCTCCAGAAATTTGTTCCTACAGATTATGCCAGCTACACTCAGGAACAATACCTGTTTGCAGGCGCGAAGATTGTTATCCAAGAATCAATAGAGAGCTACGGAGCCGTGGTGTGGCCAGGGGTGAGACAATCATTACATCTGGGATGTCGGGGCTTCTGGGGGCACATTTCCACACTTTGGGGTTACCTTGGACAGTTGGCCAAGTGCTTTCACGTTCTGGGCTTCTCCGGGAGGGAGTGAGGGTGAGGGTGAGGGTGCGCTCGGCCTTGCAAAAGCAACAACATCTCCCCAAGAAGCCATCATTTCTCTCTGTGCCCTGTTTTCTGAAACACCATTTACATTAAGATAAACCTGAATATATCAGGAAGTAAGATGAAGAATTCATACGAATTTTGGGAATAAAGCCAATCGGAGCCAGTGTTCGTTTCCCTTCCATGTTGTGGGTGTTCCCAAGGAAGCGGGTGGGGAGCCGCCGCCCCGCCTCCGCGCAGCAGCCCCCAAGGGGGGCATGGAAATGGGGGAGGCGCTCTGGATCTCGAGTCAGTCCGCTGGCCCCTGGCTTGTGGTCCTGGCTGCTGGCTCCGCTTCTCCCAGCTTCGGTCTGTCCTGGGACGCGGGGCCGTGTGCTGTCACCCCAGGAGGATGACCTGAGCACCGGCGGGAGCGCTGCGGGTGGGCACCCGCACCCACCCCCTGGGGTTACTCCCCCGACGCCGGGCGGGCGAGATGGGGCTCAGGTTGGTTCGCCTGGGGCAGCTGTGCCACTGATTTGGGGCAGCGGCCCTCCGATGCCAGCTTGCTCTTTGAGAGGCTCCGGATCCGAGCTGCTCCGCGGTTGCTGGGCAATGGCCCGGGGTGTGGGTTCAAACGCGGACGGAGGCCTCGGAGGTGCGGGGGGCTGAGCCTCTGCCTGGGGTGCTGCTGGCAGGTGGGACGATGGGAGCCGAACGGCGAGGGTGGCCCGGACGCCAGCGGCAGGTGAGGACAAGGAGGAGGGACAACAAAGGCTCCAGGCTCCTAGAGCTGCCCCCCCCCCCAGCTAAGGAAGCTCCGTGTTGCCCCCACGTGTGTAAGCATATTCCTTCGTGGGGAAGGCCTCTTGTTTGGCGCCCCGCGGGGCTGCTGCTGTATCCGGCAAATGGGCAGCCGCGCCGGCGGGACGTCAGGGGGAGAGAGTTCCTGGCACCTGCTCCCCCGCCAAGGGCGGCTTGCGCGGGCGGGGACACGCCTCCCCGCGTGACCGCAAGGCCGCGGGGCCTGGGGACGGCAGGCGGGCAGGCGGGGGCAGCTGGGGCAGCCGTCGAGGCTCCACGTGGGCGGCCCCAGGGGACACTCCTCCTGCCCCGTGCCGCCCGCGCCTTCCCTGCCGCGCCGCGCAGCCCCGTGGCCAGCTCCGCCTGCGCCTGCTCGGGGGGAGGCGCGGCCCCACCCTGTGCGCGCGGGCTCTTCGCCGCCACCTGCGCTCCCGCCCGGCCCGCCCCGGCCCGGCCCAGCGCCCCGCGTCACCGCAAGGGCGGAGCAGCCGCACGGAGACGGGAGGCCGGGAAAACACCGCACGCGGACTCGCGTTCGTTCGCTTTGCATCTCAGGATTCAGGGGGCCAACCCGGGGGCGTCCTCCAGCGGAGCCCTGCCCGGCCTCCCTGGGCCGCGGCGCAGACCCCGCGCCCTCGGTGCCCCCGTGGAGGGGTCGGGAGGCCGACGGGAGGGACGGAAGGAAGAAGGAAGGGAACCTGTGAGCTTCTCTCTCTCTCTTTCATAAATTAATTTTTATTGGTGTTCAATTTGCCAACTTACAGAATAACACCCAGTGCTCATCCCGTCAAGTGTCCCCCTCCGTGCCCGTCACCCAGTCACCCCCACCCCCCCCTCCCCTTCCACCACCCCCAGTTCCTTTCCCAGAGTTAGGAGTCTCTCATGTTCTGTCTCCCTCTCTGATATTTCCCACTCATTTTCTCTCCTTTCCCCTTTATTCCCTTTCACTATTATTCATATTCCCCAAAGTAATGAGAACATACACTGTTTGTCCTCCTCCGACTGACTTACTTCACTCAGCATAATACCCTCCAGTTCCATCCACGTCGAAGCAAATGGTGGATGGAATTTGTCGTTTCTAATGGCTGAGGAATATTCCATTGTGTACATATACCACAGCCTCTTTATCCATCATCTTTCGATGGACACCGAGGCTCCTTCCCCGGTTTGGCTACTGTGGACATGGCTGCTAAAGACATCGGGGTGCAGGTGTCCCGGCGCTTCACTGCATCTGCATCTTTCTCTATAAAAAGTCCTCTGAACTCATTCGCCTGCTGTTTAACATCTCGCTGCTCCTCAGGCTGTGGTCCGTGGGCCGCGGCCCTGCGTCGCCCGGCGGCCCCCGGAGCCCCGGCCAGGAGCCCCCGCCCCGGAGCGCGCCCCGCACTCCGCGCCCCGCACTCCGCGCCCCGCCCCGGGCCGCCCGCGGGCGCTGCAGCCTGCGCAGCCGGGCGTGGACCGTCTGCTTCTTACCCGACCGCTTAAAAAGATGGGCTGCGGGCGGTCCAGGCAGCCGACCGAGTTCCAGCCGACCGAGCTTGAGGAAGGGAGTCCGCAGGGACGCGGTGAAGACGCGCGGCACCGCTCAGGAGCGGGTTGCGGGCGGCGAGGCGAGGCGGGACCGAGCCAGAGGTGGCTGTTCCCCGCCTCCCCCCGGGACTCGCAGGAGCCGGCCGAGTCCTCTCGGCGGCCCCTGCTCCGTAGCCTCGGGGCAGAGGTGCTTTAGCCGGGCCGGTGTGCAGCCCGGAGGCCCAGATAGGGCGTGGAGGGCCTGTTGGGGTCCTCGTGAGCCCCTCAACAAACTGCAGCCGTTACTAGCACCTCTTGTAGTGTTTCGCGTGGGGAACTGCAAGGGGGGTCCGGTCGCCACTGCTTTCCCATATTCCGATGCTCAAGTGACAACTGCAAATTTTTTTTAGGCTATGGCTTTGTGTCAGTATTTGGAGGAACACACAGAAGAACTCAATCTCCAAGATGCTAAAATACTTGAAATCGGTGCTGGACCAGGCCTTGTCTCCATCGTGGCCAGTATTTTAGGTTTGTCTGTTTCTTCCTGACTTTGTCTCAGAGCACCTGGACTTTGACAGCAGTGATAGCGAGTGCTCTCCGCGTGGCCAAGTGTGACGCAGGTTCTTGGCCATGATTTCACTTACTGAATCCCCCAAAATGTCATGAACTAGGAATTAGTACTGTGAACCCAGAATTAAGATAATCGCACATGAGAGAGGTCGGGGGACTTGCCCACCTCACCAATGACTGTGTGAGGAAGTGGCGATGCTGGGGCTGTGACTCCCCCACCCCTGTCGTAAACAGCTGTGTTAGGCTGTCTCCTGTTTTTCCTTGCAAATATTGTAACTAACATTTTGAAGAAAAATAAGTGGGTTAATCCAAGGTGGAGACAGATTGATAACCCAAATGCAGGTTGTGAGTTCCTAGGTGCTAAGCAAGAGGTGGGTACAGATGTGGCGTACTTTTGCCTGCACTACTACAGATCTTCTTCTATTAAAAATCAATCTGGAAATGGGGTGGTCCACTTAGTGAACTATTGTCACTAGCCTTAAAACATCTAGCAATTAATTTAACAAATTTATGTTGGAGACAGTCATACAAAATAGATGAAATCTTCAGGTAAGGAGAGCTTTACAAGGGAAAACATGATAGATTATTATATTAAGCAGCTAATTATCCTGAAATCTCTCAACACCGCACCACTGTTTTATTCTATGTCAGTGGTTCACAACCAAATGTGATTTAGCCCAGAAGGACATTTGCCCACGTCTAGAGAAGACATTTTTGATCTTCATGACCTGGGGGTGGAGTCGGTGGGGGGCGGGGGGGCAGTGGTGGGAGTGGGGTAGCGACCCACGACTCTGCATCGGACAGTGCACAGGCCAGAGCTATCGCAGGAAAGAATTACCCAGCGGGATTGGGTCAAAATGTACTGCCCACCTGTCAAAGGGGACAAACCTGAGAAAGCGCAGCTCCATTTCTTGTGTTCTCTCTGAGTGCATCTGTCCACTGTGGCGGCCTGAGTGTCTCCTGGTAATTATTACAATTTCTCTCTTTATCTCTTAGGGGCTCAAGTCACAGCAACGGATTTGCCTGATGTCCTAGGAAACCTTCAGTATAATCTTTTGAAGAACACAGTAAAGCGTACGGCACATCTGCCGGAAGTGAGAGAACTGGTTTGGGGAGAGAGCCTGGAGCAGCACTTCCCCAAGTCAATGTTTTATTATGACTACATTCTGGCCTCGGACGTGGTTTACCACCACTACTTCCTGGACAAGCTGCTCACCACCATGGTGTACCTTTGTCAGCCAGGCACGGTGTTGCTTTGGGCAAACAAATTCAGGTTCAGCACCGATTACGAATTCTTAGATAAATTCAAGCAAGTTTTTGATACAACACTCTTGGCTGAATTTCCAGAGTCATCAGTCAAAGTTTTCAAAGGAATACTAAAATGGGATTGAATTAAACAAAATGCCTTTCGAAACATTCAGTGTCTTTTGAGCAGTGTTGGAAACTGTACTGTCAACAAAAGACTGTGAGATCAAGAAGGTAGTGCATAAAACCGACTTGTATACCTAGAATAAGCATAGTTTAATATTCTGGCATCTTTCTAAAATAACCCATCTAAGATTATTTTAGGCCAACCTAAATATCTACAATGAATAATATGAGAACATAAAAGTAGCTGTGCTGGCTTCCAAAAACTCTCAATTGTTCAATAAACTTTACATGTATAAATTTGTAAACAAGTGGATTTCTCCCGTTATTTCCACTGTGAATTTGTTAATACACGTTTGTCACAGGCTTTTAAAACTGAGGCTGACAGGATCCTTCTATCTCAGTTTTATACAGATTTTAGCTGTAGCAAAAGGAATGGCTACTGAGTGATGAAACCAGTAACAGGCTTACCATTGATTAAAAGTGAAAAATATGGGAATGGAACCAGAATAAGGAAATGGATACTGTCTTAGGAACTTCCTGAGAATCCACTCTATGGATACTCTGCTTCTGTGCCAATGAATTGGCCGGACCATTTCAAGTTAGATGTCTGGATTGTCTGTTTCCCACACACACAAATTTATGATTAGTTTCTAGAAAAGTAGGAAAGAATCAAATTTTTGTCCCGATAAAAGAAGGCTACAAAAAAAAAATCTAAAACAAACATCATGATTATAAAATGTTAAAAGCTTCTTCTCTGATAAGGGAAAAAAATAAAAAAATCCAGCTACCACCGTTTCTCAGCATTATGCTAGAGGCTTTGGGCAATGTAGGAAAGCAGAGGAAGAACACGCACATTTAGAACGGAAGGGATGCTATTTGTGGATGATGCAATTGTTTATGTAAGCCAGGGTGAGCAAACCTTTTCTGTAAAGGGCCAGCCAATAAATATCTTCAGGCCACGTACGCTCTCTACAGAATGAATATATATATATATATATATATATATATATATATTACAGCCATTAAAAAAAACTTAAGACCCACTCTTAGCTTGTGGACACTGTGAAAAACAGGCTACAGATCAGATTAAACGCGTAGGCCCTGGTTTGCTGACCCTGGGGCTGTGGATCATCTACAGTGGAATTCCTGGGACTCAAAGAAGTTGATCAAGGTTGCCAAGTGTCAATATAGAAAGCTCAGCAGTATTACAGCATGGGACCTGATGCCTAAATCTCTTCTTAGAATTCTAAATGGATCTCTTTCACATTTCCAGGACAAAAAGAGATGATCATATGCTTATTCCATTATGTTCTAAATGGACAGAGAAGTCTACCCTTTTAGAAAAGCCAGACTACAATCATAAAGACTCTTTCTTCAAGCTTTTATAGAAAAACTTAAATATATTGAAAGTTTGAATCATACACTTTAAACGTGTGCAGTTCATTGGTATGGCAACTATAACAATAATGCTGCTTAAGGAAGTAGGTGAAAGAATCATGGCCCCCCACCCTCACCCCATATGGATTTTTAATTCCCGGCAAATCTCCTTTTATGTGTACCTACACCTACTTCTCCAGTTCTGTATTAATTTGACAGAAATAATAGATATCCTTTCTTCTGTATATTTGGTTCACATACATAGGACACATAACCATAATGCTTTATCACATTTAAAATATATTTTATTTAATATAAAATTTTATACTAAGTATTTTGGTATTACATGGTAATATGTTGAAAAATGCGGTGTTCCAACTTCCGTGTGTTTCCTAAATGTCATGACATTTATTTTTGGGGTTCATCTGAATCGAGACCCAGATGAGGTCCATGTCTGACTCACTAACTGGCTGGCATGTATCTGATATCTCTTTTGACCTGCGGCTTCTCTCTCCCTCTTGCTTTTTCCTCTGGCCACTTATCTGCTGAAGAATATGAGTTGTCTGTCCTGCAGCATTTCTACCCGCTGCGTTTTGCTGGCTCATCACCAGGGTATATTTCAGAATGTCTCTCCATCCTGTCCTTCCTGGAAATTTTACATTTTAATGACAGTTTTGGGACTACCCATGCCAAGCCCAGCTTGGACCAAACTCCAGCCAAGTTATACTGAGTGAAAAGAAATGATTGTTGTTGGAAGTCATGGAGTTTTGAAGTTTGGAAGTAGCTCGGTAGACAGATCATTGAGGCACATAGGTTAGTAACTCTTAAAATCACACGAGAGGAGAATTATAGAAGACATTTCCAGCTGTCTACTCACATTTTGGATATGATGTGGCATCATAGTTGGAGTCTACAAGAACTTTCATTTCATGACTGGAAATGCAGGCAGTCTCCTAACCGCAGAGTGGAAACAGACATCTGGCTTTGATACTGCAACTGTAATTATTCATGTTTCACCCTTGAGAGGATGTGGCTTCAGTAAATTATGCACTTGCTTGTTGATTCTTTGAAATCCTCTCACAAAAGCAGGGGTTCTAAGTGACACGAACACGGTACCTTTGCGGGAGGGGTGTGCGGCTGGCCTGTTGCCGGGTGCTGTGCAGTGAGCCTTGACCCTCCTACTGCCTGCGCGCTCTGGGAAGGCTGCTACTGCAGGTGAGACACCCTGGGCCCTTCCCCAGAGAGCAGTGCTTACACCTCCTGCTTCTTTCCAGCTTCCTCATTCAATTATTGCTAATATAGTTTTTTCCTCTTGTTAACTATGTTCATACTAATGAATATTGGAGCTTATTCTTCCTTTCTTATTCCTTAAGGAAGTCTCTGTTCAAGGGTTTTTTTTGGTTTTGTTTTCTTTTTTAAGATGGGGAAATCAAAAGCATTTCTCCTTTCCATCTCTATGCATACTTCTCTGACCTAATTCCTACAGAGAAAGACAAAAACATACCTTTTAATGCTGGGCCACTGAGAATACAGAGAAAGACACACTGCAGAAGACGACTCAAGTTAATTCAGATTCAATACATTTTGAGTTGGAACAGACACACTGAATATATTGCCTGAATTTTCTGGATGACACTCATGGAGGTTAAGTGATGTGGCTCATCAGGGCCTGAGCCAGGACTAGAGAGCAGAGACCTGGGCTGGGACTCCAGCCATGTGGCCTAGACATCTCATCATCAGAGGAGAGAAGGAGGGGACCAGGCCATGCTCTTCCAGGGCCAGACAAGTTACGTGCGGGGGTGAGAAATCCCACGATGGCAAAGCTCCTACCTATGACAACTGGAAACCCGTCACTGGAAAAGGGCCAGAGACCTGTACTGAGCACACACTCTGGACCATCTCTAATGTTTAAGAAGTACCTGGCCCCTAGAGTTGTCTTTAGTGGATGTGGTGCAAAAATTGGCTACCATTACCAGAAACAGGAAAACTGTCCCTGGCTTTTTAAATTACTATTTTATATACACATCCTGTTAATTAATGGTAGTGATTTTACTGAGGACACATTCTTCTTTCTAGAGCTTATTTGGATCCAGCGGCTACCCCGGAGGTAGTGTGTTCAGAACAGAAACCAGAGGCAGACAGGAAAGCTTTGTTGAACTGCCACGAGGTCACAGCCTCTAACCACGGGTTCCCCTTATGCAGCTGATCTTTCTAGAAATCACAGTTCAAAGCAGATTTTGCCAGTCTGTGGATGTGCCTCCAATTTCCATAGCAAACCAATCTTCATTCTAAAATTTTACCACCTGTGGAAGGCTTTAGCCCCAATAGAAGAGATAAGTAGTAATTAGAGAAGTTTTTGTTACAGCTGAAAACCAGGAAGTGGCTTATTGAGCCTTAAAACAAAACAAAACAAAACAAAACAAAACTTGCCTGAAAATATTCATGCTTTACTGAACGTACTTAGAAAGTTCCATTATTTCACTACCTCCTCCTGAAAACACACAGGTCAATTGTTTGTTTTTTAGTACTAAACAGAGGGAGGCTGGGAGGCCACCGATTCACAGCATCACACACACAGGCCAGCCACTAACTGAACCTGTTGAGAGGGCCCAACTGCTGCTCCCTGTACCTGAAGTGCCACATTGTTCTTGAGTATATCCAAAAGCCACCAGGGGCTGAATTCTTTTTCAGGAGGGATGAGGTGAGGAAAGTGGAAAGAGTGGTTCTTAACTTCTGGCCCCATCTGTGCTCTCAGGCAAGACAGGATCTAGCAGAGAGGAAAATGGTTGAGGCTGGAATTTAAAACAAAAGTTTTTGGTTCAGATGGTAAGGAGGCCCTCAATAACAGCAGAATCAGTGTATCCAGAAGGCAGTGCTGGAATTCGCCTCATGAACTAGGGAGTTTCTTCTTGGCATCCAAGTCCTTTTTAATTTCTTTTAGTTTTTTAGCCACGTTTGGTATGTCATAGTTCTGAGCCAGATACATTCCAACCACATTGCCAAAAGTAAATACAAACAGGAACTGGAACATGGTGTTGGTGCAGAGGGCGCGAAGTGTGGCAGCAGCTCCGTGGGCCGGTCCAAGCCTGCCGCTCCCCGAACGAGGGGCGGAACCCACCCTAACCTTAAATTTATATTAAAATTGGACATAGATTCATGTGGTTAAAAAAAAAAGAGTAATGTCCATGATCATGGGGGATGTGATGTTTCAAACTGCCCTGTTCCTATCCCATCTCTAGCTCCGTGTTTACCTGTAAAGCCAGCAGCCCGGCAATCACCGGAGAGAGCAGAACAGGGGTGGGAGCTCCTCCCAAGCTTTAATTGTCTCTCCCTAGAAAACCCCATGTGCAAGGCCATTTTTATTTACCTAGATTCAGCTCTCCTTGGGCTGAGAGGCCTTTACCCGAGGGGGTGTTTGTCTTGATAATTATAGGCAACTGTGTAATTTTGTGGCTGCCTGAGATGGTGAAAAATTGGGGTTAATCAAAAGGCTTAAAAAGAAAAGCTAGGAAATAAGATGTTCATAGAGGATTTGAAATCTGGGTATCTACATCCTAGGGCTGCACACATCCGTTGAAGAACCTGAGAGGACTTAAGCTTCCACCTCTGGCTGCCCCTGGGGCTCTGTGCAAATGGGCAGTACTTACTAGGAATGGTGAAACCTGAATTATAAAACAGACTCTATAATGAATGAAGCAGTCACCCTATCTTTCTGTGCCTCTCAGCTTCCTCATTGGACTGAACATATATACACGGGAACCTGTATAATTGGGGATGAAAGTATTGTGTCTTTGTGAGAAAATACGCATGTGGTTGTTCATGGACAGACTTTAAATTCTAGATGGCTCAGAAATTGTTTGCAAAATATTTGCATGCATATTTGCATTTGCTCATAAAGCTCTGATGTTTTTACCATATACAGGGGTCAATTACCCCAAAACCAGTTGTGAGAGACTGGATGATTAACTGAGAGGTCTTTCATAATAGCAAATTCTACAGGAATAAGATTTAAAAACCATACACACACACAAACACATTTGCTGTGAGTAGAGGCTTTTCAATTATTGTCTACGTGTGTCTTTTTATTATATAGGAAAGATGAGAGAAGCAAGTATAGTAGCCAGAAAGATAAAAATAATAAAAAGCCAAAAACATTCACAAATGTTAGTCACATAAGAATTGGCAATATATTCAAATAACTGCAAGCCTATAGGAAATATAAAATAAATTACCTCATGTTGAGAATTTGTCTATTGATTTAATATATTATTTCTGTTCTAACCCCAAATTTTATGAAAAATTAAGACCAACTTTAAGAAGCTTTAATATTCACTTTTATTATTTATAAAAAAAATTAAGGTATCAGAATGCGTATGGTATATACTGTGATCTTGGTTTTGCACATTTATTCACGTGTTTACATTATTTCAACTTTAATAAACATACCATATGTGTGTCTTTACAATACCTGATAAAGATTTAGCTGTCTGGCACTTATACATGTATTATTAGTTCATTCTGATGCTCTGCATGTCAAGAGGATGTTAAAAATGATTGACCTGAAATAACTCCAAGATGAATATTTAGATTTAGTGAAGCAGTTATGCTCCAGCAACTGCTACACATTTATTTGTGTCGGTTTTATTTTTCCCCCTTAATTGAATGTAAACTTTTGCAAAAAAAAAAAAAAAAAAAAAAAAAAAAGAAAAAAAAGAAAAAAAAATTTCTGGAAATGAGGTTCTGTTACTTTTAGTCTGATAAATAATTTGAGCTACGCTTAATGTAGCTTTTTAAGGCCTTCATACAATTGAAAAAATTAAAGTTGAGCATGTTAAAACCCTGTTCATTTATAAAATAAAAAATAGAATTTTACAGGTTTGCAGTTAAAAGTCACTGTTCAAAACCTATCATGCATGTAATAGCTGCAACCCAAATGAAAGTCCTTGGTGCTGGCAGTCAGGGCACAGCCCGTCGCCAGCAATGTGAGGCATTAAAAAAACACCATGATGTCAGAGGTCTAGGTTACATGTATTAAGCCACACGCCAGCAAATTCTCTGATAAATACACATCATTTTAATAATCAGTATTTGATAGCGGATGAAAACATGCATTAAGACTAAAAATGCCACAAATTTGTTTTTATATCCATTCACTATAAAACTTTCTTTTTTAAAATTTAAAGTCTTAGTTCCTATTTTAGAATACACAATAATCAGGAGGATACATGATGGGGAGCCAGTTTTCAGTAAAAGATGCACAATGGGTCCATCCAAGTAACTTCATCAGCTATAACAAAACACAAAAGCGTAGTATTATAGAACAGTTTTTAAGATCAATATTCAAAAAAGTCTGTATCTAACAATAATAGAGTACTAGCACGTAGAACTTTCCTCCCATCCCAGCCACCCACCAACCATCAACGGATCTTCCTTACTGTCAGCTCACTTACCACTTTCCTACCAGCCAACCTCTACAGGCAACTATGACCATCCTGGCCAACCTCCCTTCTTTCCTGTCTTTCTACTAACCTTCCCGTCTTCCTTTCTTCATTCCAACTTCCTTGCTCCCTTCTACCATACTAGTTGCCTTTCTTTCTTTTTCATTCTGACTGTAAGTCACACACTGTGCTAGACATGGGGAAAACAGCACTATACAAACTCACTTCCCACTTTCAGGAAAGTTATGTTCCATTCAGGAGAACCAAAGATAAATAAGCAAATCAATGAACAAATGAGTACATAATTAAGCTGTGTATTTCAAGTACACACTACAATCTGATGAGATAACAGGGTGACTGGGAAATGAGATGGGTCAAGAATGGGATCTCTGAGAAGGGGATATTTAAGGAAAAATTTGAAGCAGAAGTAACCTGCTCTGAAAACCTGGGAAGAGCTCTCCATACAGCTGGACTAGTGAGGGCCCCTGGTAAGAGGGGGCTAGGGAGGAAGGCAGGAGCCAGATCACATGGAGTGTTGAGGGCCACAAAAAGGAGTTTGGATTTTATCCTAAATGTGATGGGGCTTTACCAGGAGGTGTCTAAAGCTTTCTTTTCCAGCTGTGCTGTGGAGAACAGATAGTACAGGAACAGAGTGGCTGGGACACTCGTAATAGAACACCCCCTGATGTGAACATCTGGGTGAGTCACTGGCTTTACCGACATAAGAGCTTACAGATTACAGCTGACATAATGAGAATCACACTACACTCATTAATGATTAGTTTTAGCAAGAGTTCTCTTAAGCTATTCAAAGATCTGAAGATGCTAATTTAAAATGTCTTACAATCTGGACTCACCAGTGAAGGTACATAGAAAAGGTCTAAGAGGGAAGATAACTTGTAGTTTAATTATAAAAAGCTTCCCCAGGAACTTACATCCAAAGAATACCTTAGAGAGACCAGACCCTTGCAACATTTGGCATAGGACTAAGGTGCCCAAACCCATTATGCCTTGTAGGCACAAACCACCTGTGTGTGTCCAGAGACAAGATAAGGCTAGGATGATTTCTGTGGAGTTCAGTAAGTTTTTACACTTGACAGTTAACTAGTACAGAAGACGGTATGTGGTAAAATCATAAAATGGTCTATCATTTCAAAAGAATAAGATCAAATATAAACTCTAGAAGCTCAACCATTTTAGAACTGAGCCAATATGTATTTAAAGGGAATGGTTTTTGCCTCCTTCATTAAGAAAACTCAGTCTCAGTCTTCTGACTATACATCGAAACTTCCTAATGCACTTTGCGTATGTTAAAAATATTTGAGGCTAAATATAAATATTTAATAAGAAAAGTTAAAAAAAATGTCAATAGCTTACTGGCTATCTCTCATGCTTTTACTTTATAGTTCACATTACACAAATTAGAGGTAGTAGTCATGAAAGAGTCAGCATCACTAAATCACTGTAAGTCTTCTAGCTATCTTGTCACATGATGAGATATTGACGGGACACTTAACAGTGACAATTTAGTATCACTTACTTGAATACAATTTTTCCAGTTTTCTTTTGTTGGCTTTTCTTCCACAAGTTTAGTTGCAAATTTAAGGCCTCTCCCATACAATTTATGTACTAATGCATGTTTGTATGCAAATGTTAAAACCTATAAAACAAGATAAAGCTTATCTATGAAATGCTCATATTTTATAGCTTATAGCTTTAATAATGAAAACAAGGCCTTAACAGAAGTTCAGCTTTTAAAATAAACATTTTTACATCAAGCAAATTTCAAAAATGTTTCTGAAAGAACAAAAGTTGAATATTCCACAAAATAACTTATTTGGGGGAAAAAATAAAACTGTGATAAACCACTAGCTCTTGGAGTCTATACCAAAACACCTCTTTATGCAAAGGGGAGCTAAACATAAATGATTGCAAAAAACACAAATAAAGATAGAAGTACAAAACTATAAGGAGTCATTATGAATGACCAAAACTACAAAAGGGTATAAAGTTAAAAAAAAAAAGTATATTGTATAAACATATTCTTACTTTCAATTAATTCCTTTTGTATAAGTTTGTACCTTTAATTATTCCATCTGTCAAATATACTTGTAACCATTTATTCATATTTTTGCTCTCCACTTTTATAATGTAGAGAACAATCTCAAAGAAAGGAATCCTATCACTTTTATTTGTATTCTAGAGCCAAGCAGTGTTCAATTCTTTTCAGTGTAATAAACAGACACATAAGACAATGCATGGCCCCTAATACAGTAGTAGTATCATGGCAAACAGGCTCATTGATAAGTTTTTCTACGCTGTTCATCCAGTGTTTGGCCTGCAGGCTCTTATTCATCTTTCTCCAGCAGCAAGCACAGCAGGGAGCATGAGGCAGACACGCAACAGTCCTATGTCAGCAATGGCAGCAAACACTGTTCAGGGCCCTGCCTGTACTTAACACTCACTCATTAGGAACGCTGTGTCCTGTCACCACTCCCATTTGACAGGTTAGAAACCGAGGCATCAGAATTCAGTAACTTGCCCAGGGTCATACAGATCAAGGTGGCAGAAGCAAGATGTGAACTCCAGGGTC